ATTTTTTAGTTGTAGATGGACATAATATCTTTACTTTTCTTTCTTTTTTTTTTTTGGATTTTTAACACATTTGCTTCTTTATTTCAAAATACAATATCTTTATTTGCTTATTTTTATGTGGTGCTGGGGATGGAACCCAGGGCCTCACTCATGCAAGGCAAGCGCTCTACCACTGAGCTACAACCCCAGCCCTTGGCAGTTATTTAAAAAGCTGAAGATACAATTGCCATAAGGAATGGAACAGACACTTCATAGAAGAAATATAATCTGTCAACAAATACACGAAAAAATGTTTAGCATCTCTAGCAATTATAGAAATGCAAATTAAAACTACACTAAAGTTGGGCGCAGTGGCACATGTCTGTAATTCCAACAGCATGGAAGACTGAGACAGGAGGATTGAGAGTTCAAAGCTAGCCTCAGCAATGGTGAGGTGCTAAGCAACTCAGTGAGGCCATGTCTCTAAATAAAATACAAAATAGGGCTGGGGATGTGGCTGAATAATTGAGTGCCCCACCGAGTTCAATCCTCAATACAAGGAAAAAAAAAATTGCACTGAGATTTCATCTCACACCAGTCAGAATGACAATTATCAAGAATACAAGTAATAAATGATGGTGAGGATGGGGGGAAAGGTACACTCATATATTGCTGGTTGGATTGCAAAGTGGTGCAACTACTTTGGAAAGCAGTATGGAGATTCCTCAGAAAACTTTGAATGGAACCTCCATTTGACCCAGTTACCCCATTCTTTGGAATACACCCAAAGGACTTAAAGTCAGCATACTACAGTGACATAGACATATCAATGTTTATAGCAGCTCAATTCACAATAGCTAAGCTATGAAACCAGCCTAGATTCCCTACAACAGATGAATGGATAAATAAAGCGTGGTACATATACACAATGGAAAACTACTCAGCCATAAAGAGAAATGAAATTATGGCATTTGCCAGTAAATGAACAGAACTGCAGACTATCAAGCTAAATGAAATAAACCAACCCCCCAAAAAACCAAAGGCTGAATATTCTCTCTGATATGTGGATGCTAACTGATAGCATGGGAGGGTGGGGAAGAGAAAAAAGTGCATTGGATTAGAAAAAGAGGAATGAAGGGAAGGGAGAAAGGATGGGAGTAGACAAGACAGTAGAATGAATCGGATGACCAGTGTTAACTCCACATCATGTACAACTACAAGAATGGGAAGTTATATTCCATGTATGTATAATATGTCAAAATATATTCTGCTCTCATGTATAACTTCAGAACAAGTAAAAAATTTAAAAATATATATACTTAATAAAGAAAGATACAATTACTGTATGACCCAAAAATTCCACTTGTAGATATATGCCCAAAAAGAACTGAAAAGAGAGACTCAAGATAGTTATATGCCAATATTCACTGCAGTAACACAATAGTCAAAAGGTAGAAAAACTGGCCATCAATAGACAAATGAATAGACAAAATATGCACATCTATACAATGGATTATTCCGTTGTAGAAAGACAGAACATTATGATTAATGCTACACATGTACAACCCTCATAGTGAATATTCAAAGAAAAAGCCAGAAACAATAGGATAAATATTTCAATATTTAGAATAGACAGATTCATAGAGACATAAAGTAGGTCAGAGGTTATCAGGGACTTGGGGGAAGGGAGAATGAGAGATAATATTTGATGGCTATGATGTTCTGCTTGGGTTAATGAAAATGTTTTAGAAATACATAGTGATTATTACACAGTATGGTGCACATGCATTTGTACACTTTGAAATTGTTACAATGGCTATTTTTTACAATTAAAAAATACAACAGAATTGGACATTATTACCCTGTGTGCATATATGAATACATGACCTGTGTAACTCTATATCATGTATAACCAGACAAATAAGAAGTTATACTCCATTTATGTAAGATGTGTCAAATGCATTCTACTGGGCTGGGGATATAGCTCAGTTGGCAGAGTGCTTGCCTTGCATGCACTTGCCTTGCATGCACAGGGCCCTGGGTTCAATCCCTAACACTGCCAAAAAAAAAAAAAAAAGTATTTTATTGTCATGTATAACTAATTAGAACAAATAAAAGTATATTAAAAATTTTTTAAAGAATAAAAAAATACAACAAAACCACTGAATTTTAACTTTATATGTGTGAATTGTATCTCAATAAAGCTTTTTTTTGTTAACATAGAAATTAAAGATCACTTAGAACAATGAGTATAATTGAGAGCAAGGCAAACTACTTACTAGCCTAAGCAATTTATAGTTATAAAGGTGATATGTAGTCATGCATATAGTTTGATTAATCAGACTTCTCTAGTTCTGATATAACAATTTATAGTAGAGTCCAAGGTAATATCTACTCAATAACAATAGGGAAGGAGAGATATCAAATGAATGACATGTATATAAAGAGTCCACAATTTAAGTACTTTAGATGAGCAATTTCCAATACCACTGTTATAGAGCAACTATAAGTAGCAATCAAACTTAACTCTGCTAATCTGAAGTGTTAACTACAAATCATTCTTATTTGTTAAAACAAGATTTCTACTGGGCAACAATGGCAATTAAGGAGTCCTGCCAGTTGTCAAAAATATCCAGGTGGTGTAGTCCCACATCTGCTCAGGGTCTTTATCCTTACATCTGTTCTTCTTCCTCTTTCTTTTTAAAATCTCCACAAACCAGAATTTTTTTACTATATTGGCTAACTTCAGATGTTACTGTATTTGATTTGCCTTTCAAAATTATAAACAAATTAAAAATATAATAGGGTTCTTTAGATTATCAGTTTCCTCTTTCATTAGCATGGAAATTAAAGAACTGACTATGGAAATTACGTATGTGTCACATTATGAATGGGTCAGATATTTTGCTGTCAAGTTAAAGAATGGTGAGGTTTCCAATCATGTGGGTTAATGAGATTATGGATAACCTAAAGGGAAGTATATGTTTGTGTAACCCCCTAATAAAAATTCAGTATTGCCATTTAATCTAACCTATATGTCTTTCCAAAAGATGATCACACTGATTAAAGCACAGTCTGAAAATGGCAGAAAATAAATGGTTTAAAAATCAGTCATTTTGGGAAAAGACTATAACATTGAAGGGATTTCTAAGGCACACAAGACCACAAATAAATCACACACAAAAGTTTTATGATGTCAAGAAACAGTTTGGCCAGGAACTCAGTAAATACCCAATATGCACAGGTTGATCCTGAGAAGCTGAAAGCCTGGGCTCATTTCAATACAGGTAAATATGAGGACCTCCCCTTAGACTCAAAACAAAACCAGACCTATTTTATTTCAGGTTCTTCCCAAGTAGTATTAAAGATTAGGGGACAGTACACTGGTAATTATAAAGTTTGCTACCAAGGAGAAGAGAGAGCTGAGAAAAATAACCTATAACCAAAACTGAAGACCAGTAAAGCAGGGATCTGGAGCCACTGGCCTAGGAGCAAACCAGCTTTAACACCTCTATTTCTGATGATAACCCTCAAGCACCAAGAAAAGATGGTAATTATGTTTGTTGTATTCAATTTAGCATGGCAAGGAAGGAAACATGGTTTTATTCTATTATCATTTAAACATTAAAACAATAAACTTCAGTATTTAAAAAAAATCAATTTATCCCTTAAGGAAACGAGGGAGTGTTGCCTTTATAGATGACAGGTCACTGCAAAAGTCTATCTTTATACACACACCAAAAATAAAGCAAGGCAAGGGGAGCCCATTCTATGATGGGGATTTAACTACTGTTACTTCCTTTATGAGAATAATGAAAAAAATATTTCTGCATTTAGAAAGATGATCACCTGGTTAGAATAAAGGAAAACACTGCATAAATCACAAAATGTGCACCTCACACACACACTTTTGCAGAGCTGGGGATTGAACCCAAAGCTTCACACATGCTAGGCATGTGCTCTACCAAGGCAATTATTCTGATTAAAGGTCATCTATATCTATCCAAAAAGATTCTGGAATCCTAAAACATTCCTGAGTGCTTTACATGAAAAATAATCTGTTTCTTTTGAGAGTACACATTTTTTTTTTCAAAGTCAAAAAACACAATAGCTATTATGCTGAGTAAACAGACTCACATAAAGGCTTTCCCTTGGGCCTCTAAGTCATCAGAGTATCATATCAGGTATCCAAGCTACACTCTTCCCTCGGTCTGCTCAGAGAAGCAGCTGGTGGGAGCATCTGCAAGTACCACAACATTACAGAGGGCAGCCCCAAGTTTTCAGAAGCCTAAGAATGGAACTTCTATTGTAACCAGTAGAGTACTCACTTGCCTTTTAGGAAGCACCCTGTATGCTCCACTGCTTTCATCTACACTTAATTCATATCTCCTTAGGTCAACTGCCTGGAACATGCTGGAGCCAGACCTGAGGCTCCTCACTTGAGGACCAGACTTCAACAACTGAAAGTAAATTCTGCTTCTTTCCACCTATTCTTGGCATAGTTCCCATAAGTTGTTTTGCTTTTCAAAATACCAAAGAAAGGAAATGTTTTCTAAAACAATGCTGGTAAAAGCTACAGAACATATGGCAAACAAGATGCCTACAAACCAAATGTGTGTGGTATCTTTACTCAATACAAATGACTAAGATTTTATGCAAAATGTCTTTTGGGCAAGTCTTAGATACAAATTTTTTTTCAATCAAAATAAAAACTGTGATTTGTTTTTTAAATGACAACAGAAGTCACATACCTAAAAGGGAAACCTCATAATATTAAAAAAAAAAATCCAAGATTCTGATCTCTTATTGACATAGACGTTTAGGGTATAATGATGACCCTTGCACATCTGATCACAATTAATTGAGAAAATTCTTTAGAGGACTTATTACATAAATGAATCCCTCCATGTTAGATTGAGCAGTCACATTCCTTCCCTTTAATTTCCAATCCAAAGAAGTTTTATTAACTTCCCACCAAGTCTAAGGAAACCGCTATGATTATAACATCAGCATATACTTACATTCAAAGCATTCTTTGCAGCTTCTGCTTCAGAGCGACTGTCAAAGCTGACAAAACCTACAGGCTGAGGAAAGAGAAAGAGAAATACAAAGAAAAAAAGTCAGGTAATATCTTTTTCTGAGGTCAAGGTTGATGTCAATTGAAAAGCTAAGATAAAGAAATGACCACAAGTGACAGGTAGAAGTAAGAATAAGACCCAAAGAATCATGACTCAGTGGTATAGTCACATTTCTAACATGAATCAAAGGGATGATCAGTAAGGGTGGTTCTTCAAGAGCACAGCTGGGGATTTAGAGAATCATTAAAAAACAAAACTAAACTAAAAACCTTAGAGATGATTGGATGATGAGCAGGAGTAAATAAAGGGATAGAGACAATTTGGAGTTGAAGAGGCTCTAATTTCTTAAATTGAATTCATTGTATTTCAGTTTCTTCATCTTTTAAAATGGAAAGAGAATAGAATCACCACCAATGACACAGTGGTTAAGCCCTATACTCTTACTGCATGACCAAAATTACAAAGTGAGCATGCATGTCTATCTCAAATCCCTAGGGATGCCTTAAAAAAAAAAATCCTGTATTATAGGCATAAACCACACTGTATGTGGGAGCCATAATCCCTTTGTACTCTATTTTAACAGCCAAGCAAGTTACATGCAATGTAGCTTATTTCAGATGAACCAGAGAGACAAAAGTGATTGAGAGGCAAGAATGCCAAGTATTTGGCTTAAAAAAGAGAAAGCAAGCAAGCAACCAAGCAAGCAAGCATATAGCTAATCTCCAAGAAACTTGTAGGAACTGCCAGGTCACTGAATACCAGCTCCATTCTGTATCTTCTGTGCTCCGTTCTCAATTAGGGACTCTGCCTGAGTTATTAGGGGTTTGAGGAACAGCATGATTCTTCACCATCGGATATTCATATCACTTGTAAAAGTTTACCCATTTAACCTCTTAAAAGAAATGGAAAAGAATTGGGAGTACAAGTGAATTTGGTTGATATTTAATCATTTTATTTGAACATACAAATCAGCCTTAATATAACTATGTTGGAGGCATCATTTTTGCCACATTTTGGGACAATCCCAAATATCCTAGCTAGAAGACTATAGAACTACACATTATCTTCCTACGCTAATCCAAATAGAGCTCACCCTTAATTTTAAAGCAATAGTAACCACAACAAAAAATCAAATCCTAACTGGAATTAAAAAAGACTGTTAAACCCCATTTAATACTCTGGAGAAAGTAAAAAAGTCATCATTTATACAGAAGTTTGAAATTCTTACCTGCTTAGATGTAAGCTTTATAAGAGAGCCTTCATAGCCCTGGAAATAAGAAGAACCAAGTTTAGCCCTCAAAATGAATATGGGTGGGGAGAATGTAATACCATCTAGCTAGTAAACATGACCCTCTATGACTATCTAGCTTTTTGCACAAATGCCTCCCAATTTAGTTGGGAAAGCAAATTACAGACACATAACCCCACACACCCCTATTTTATTACTTGGGGTCCAAAAGAAATCATGTAGTTATCTATGTTTTCCTCTTTTCTATTTTTTCCATGAAATTATGCAATATAGGGTAATGGGAATGTTTGTCAACAACAGATCTTTGTCTTCTTAGACTCAGTAAGGATAGGGATTTCATAAAACTAGGAGAGGGAAGAGAGTAAATCTAATAAGAAGGTTAGAGCATGTTTAATTTGGTCATACATTTGCTAATAAAATAATAATAATGAAACACTTAAACATACAATTTATTGATCAAAATCTCAGATGACCAGAAAAGGCTGAACAGACAGTGATACTGCATTTTGTTGCATTCTGCTTATTTAATGAAGTAGCTGGTTTCCATAATGCTGGGACATGCAAAACCTCCCTCTAGGGTTTCTATTCCAGCTCATTCCTAAGGAAGATGGAAACATCCCCTAACTTTTCCACTACCTCTCTTCTCCCTTCCCCCAACTAGTTCCTCAGGATAAGAGTAAGAAAGTGTGTTCATTTCTGGAAATAATCAATGACTAGTGGCTTTCTCTGATGGATGACAGAAAAAAACACCACTTGACATGATTGACCACTACACATATCAGTACAAAGACAGATTTGTAGACTAGGGTCAGCCTCCAGGGACTTTAATTAAAAGAGGGTTGTTAGTAATGTACCAAGGTCCTAACTTTAGTATTGGGGTTTTTGGACAGGACTTTAGGATTGATTCATCCTCACATCCAGCACAAAACTTGGTTACCAATTAGCTACTATAAACATTCTACCTACAAGGCCTTGAGCTCTTCTGGACAGAAAGGTCATGATTCACAGTCCTGCCTCTTTCTTTTTTCAAGGTAGTCTCTCTCCTAAAAAACCTGGAGGCTTAAACAGTCCCAAGGTCTCAGAAGCAAAGGACAAATGTATATTTCATTCAAGTAAAACATCACTGGCAGGGAAATACCATGCTCTGAAACCACAAAGAACTGTGTAACATCATAGTTTAAAACAGGAATGGCAGTCTAATGCCTGCCTCTTTGGTCCTGCCATTTATTATGTGTGCAAACTTGAGCATAATATATAGTTAACTGTTCCAAGTTTCATTTTCATCATTTGAAACAATGGGGCTAAGCCACCTTAAGGAACTGTGGTAATAATGAAATGAGATAATAATACATCTAAGGGCTTTGTTGGCCAAATCTTCCTCTTATACATACAAACAAAACAATATTTTGTCGGTTAAGAAGATCAACTAGGGGCTGAGGATATGGCTCAACTAGTAGTGCACTCGCCTGGCATGCATGAGGCACTGGGTTCGATCCTCAGCATCACATTAAAAAAATAAAATAAAGATATTGTGTCCACCTAAAGCTAAAAAATAAATTTAAAAAAAAAGAAGATCAACTAGCTTAAAACGTCACAGAAATGGCTCTTTTTATACAACTGTGATCCTGTATATGAAACTCTAGGAATTCCATAAAGTTGACACTCTCTTCATAATACCTTTTCCTCCTTTCCCATTTCCTATCAGCCAGTCTTGAATTACCCTTCCTGTTTCCCTCTGTGCTGTCATCATTACTACTTCATTCTGCAGTTGGCTGTTAGAATGCAGTGAGGTCTGTCACTACATGGTGTCTTCTTGGCATACAACCTAGACTCTAATCTTTCCTACTAAGCTGAATCCTGTCCAACATGTCCTGCCTCAATCAGGATGGATCTTTAATCAGAAACCAAGACTGTCTATTGCCTAATCATAAGGGTGACCCGACAGGTATTGTAGCTGTCATATCCACAATGACCAGCTCAGAGCTCCTGGACATAGGCCCTGAATTCATGAAGCCTTCAAGGCCCATATTCTGATAAGTTCTAGTTTCCTCCTATCCTCCAAAAGCCAGCATGGTTATTTCAGCTTTAGTCCAATTTCCTATTAAGTTTTCATTCCCAGTAATGTTAAATATCTCTAAAGTAACTTTATTTCCACAGTCAGGAAGGACAGGTGATTGCATTAAATATTTCACTAAACACAGAGAAAGATTCCTCTTAATTTATACACAGCTTTCTGCAAAATTTTGTTTGAAATTTAGAACTTTTGCCAGGGGAAAAAATAATAGTGTTCAAAAAAGACCATTTTAAAATGTCTCCTTATCAAGAATACTATTCCAACTAATAAGGAAGCAACTGACAGGGTTTGATTTACCTTATTGCATTTAAAATATAAATAGGTAGTATGTAATTTGTAACCTTTTCATTGTCTATAGTTAGCCTCAGTTGGAGTAGAACAAACAGGGGAGATTACATGGAATAGAGACCCCTGGGGCCAGATGCATATTCACATCAGTAAGAGACCTCTCTAGCTAGATGAGTTGTTGGAGGCCAAAAGGCAGTTTCAGTCTATCTTCCTAGGTGAGTCTGTGCATGAAAACTCAGTTGTTAACTTTCTTTTACTCATTAACCTTTTTGTAAACATCTCTTTACAAGGTGCTCTCTCAAACATTTTTTCTTCCTCCAAAAAGCCCCCACAAAGCATGGAAAACACAGCCTTTTTGTATCCTTCTACAATTTCTGAAAGATATAAAAGGTACCTTAAATGGTCTGAAAAGCAGATAGAGCTCCCGAGGTTTGATATCCAGAGGGAGACCGCTGACAAATAGGGTCCGAACCTAGAAAAATAAATTTAAGAAGTGAGTAAAGGTGTGGACAGAAGCCACAAGATAGCTGTCACCTGAAATTTCAAAAATATTTCTCCAATTATTCATGGCTCCTACCAAATCCATGCTCTTTCCATGATACAATGAATACTGTAATGTGGAGATGCCATTAAGCTCTTATAGTTATTTCTACTTGGATTTCTCAATGAATTATATCTAGCTGATTTAAAATTATAAATTGACTTTCCATTCTCCAACCAACTACTTCCCAGTTCTAAAATCTGAGAAGGAAGTTTGTGTTTCCTTATAATTTAAGCACTAGCTTAAAAATACAAAATGAGTATGGTAAATCTACCACTCCTGTGCTCTAACCATATGACCACATAAGGAGCTTCAAAACTAAAACATGAAACACTATTTCTCCTGCTTGTCCTGTCACTGCTTCCCTCAATGATGTTAATTACAATAATTTTAAGAAATATAAAAGTATAATAAATATGTCAAACACATCCAAGTAGTAGCTATAGTGTGTAATTTTGCATCTGCTCAGTTCTATTCCCAATATATTCTTCTATGGTACCACCAGCATGTATGTCTACTACGTACAAGGTAACTACTAGGTGCCGTTGACAAAACTCATTCAAGACATATATGTAAATATGCATGGTTCAAGGCGCCCAGTATAAACTATGTGCTTAGTGTCCACCAACATACAGAACATAAATGACACTGAGAATGAGAAAGCATATTAGCATCTGAATGTGAATTTAAAGCACTGGTGGGATTTTAACCAGATGGAGACAAAGGTGAGGTGAGGGTGGGTAAGAATCACAGGCAGAAAAAGTATTAACCAAGATAATGATGTGGGGGACAGTACAGTGTGTTCTGCGGGCAGGGTGGGCCAAAACTGAACAGGAATTTGTAACTTTTTCATGATCTACAACAAAAATTACTGTTTCATGTGTACTTAAAGCAGATATGTGTTTGCTGTTGTTGGGTAGAAATTTAGGTCAAACCACAGGGCATATCAAAAGCCTAGGAAACTGATCTTGATTCAATAGGCAAGGAATAGCCATTGAATATCCCTATTTTTTATTCTACCCAGGTAATACAATATGATTAAGTTCTTCATTAGGTTATCTATCATGTCGATACTTAAAGAAAAATTCAATGCTCAACTGTTAACCACCCATAAATATAAAAGATTTTTCCTCGGTGATAAATAGAACATTTCCTAGGTTTCTGACACTTTCCACTGATTCTGATTGTACAGAAGCACAAACTAGCAAGCAAGACCCTTTTATTAACCTAGAATAGTATACAACAAAATGTCAGGTCATTTGTATACAGGTATTTAATAAACACTATTATGATACAATAGTGCCAGAATTCTAATTTATTATTTATATTTCAAGCAGATATTTTTACATAATTGATATACAATGAACTATATATATCTTGAAAGTATACAATTTAAGTTTTGACACATATAACCTGAGAAACCATCACAATTAATACACTACCAAGAGTCGTCTCACATCCCTTTAATCCTTCTTCCCATCCTGGCCCACCATCTCCCATTCTTAGGCAAGCACTAATCTGGTTTCTGATGCTGAAGATTACTATGTATGTTCTGAAAGTTTACACGAATGGCACCACAGACTATGTACCCATTGTCTGGATTCTTTCACCCATCCACGTAGTTAAATGTATCCAAGTCTGTTCCTTTGTCACTGAGTGGTATTCTGTTATATGGATATCACAGTTTATCTATGTACCTGTTGACAGACATTCAATTTCTTTCTAGTTTTGGCTTTTGTAAATAAAATGGCTATCAGTATTCACATACAAGTCTTCATATGGATGTATACATCTTTTTTCTTTTCTTTTTTTTTTTTTTTTTTGGTGCTGGGAATTGAATCCAGGGCTTGTGCATGTAAGGCAAGCACTCTACCAACTGAGATATATTCCCAGCTTTGTATACATCATTTTTGTATAAATACCTAGAAGCAGAATGGTTATATATGGTAGGTATAAGCTCAGATTCAAGGCCAGCCTGGACAAACTAGCAAGACCCTATCTTAAAACTAAAATATTAAATTAAATTTAAAAGGCTGCTGGGGGCTGGGGATGTGGCTCAAGCAGTAGCGCGCTCGCCTGGCACGCATGCGGCCCAGGTTTGATCCTCAGCACCACATACAAACAAATATGTTGTGTCCGCCGAAAACTAAAAAATAAATATTAAAAATTCATTCTCTCTCTCTCTCTCTTTAAAAAAAAGGGGGGGAGGGAGCTGGGAATGTAGCTCAGTGGTAAAGGATCCCTGGATTAAATCCTCAGTATCAAAAACAAAACATCAAAAATTACTGTTTCATATGCACTTAAAACAGATATGTGTTTTGCTGTTGTTGGGTAAAAGAGACTATACATATTAACTCATTGTTCCAAGTTTTTCATATAGTTTGCCTTCCTTCTCTAGCTATCTTTGACACAGATAAAGAAAGGTCCTGGGAAGAGTCTTTATCAAGGTTGCTAAAGCTGACAAATGCAAAAGACACTGACCATGAGGGAATCTTGCTATACAGTGTGCCCACCATCTGTTCAATTTGGCTGTTCCAATCAGAAAAGCCAGGACAGATAGGGATTCTCACCTCCCATTCATTCAGATTCTGCAGAGTGTCCACTACCTTCCTGATGTTGCCAGGTACTGCCTAGATTGCAGAGATTTGAACAGAAGTAACATGATAAGCAAATCCTGTGTTCTAAATGCTGGGGCACCATTTGTTTAGAAGCTTAGCTGAGTTATCTGGCAGGTATCAATTAGGACCTGAGGAGTTTGCCTAGTAAATGAACTACCATTTATAACATTATTCTAAAAAAAAAAAAAAAAAAAATTCTCTAGAAATCAGGGGATTATCAATAAAAGTTTCCTATGTTGTATGATAGAATATTTTTCATCCAATAAAAATATGCTCAAGTAAAAAGTACATATAGTTCAACTCTATTCTGCAAAGCAGCTGACATGTATTTGGAGAGGGGAAAAATGCTTTTTATGATATATAAGTGTTTATATCCATTAGCCCTGAGTAGTAGAATCGTGATTTTAATAGTTTTTATTGGCTTATTCATGGTTTCTATTTTTAATAAACATGCATAAGATATTATAAGTTTATTTTGTTAGGTTTAGAACTGCCTTGATTTTATTTCCTGAGGAAACCAGCAAAAAAAAAAAAAAAAAAGTCAACATTTTTACCAATATAAATTATAAAGTTTATGGAGGAAATTTTCTTATATAAATATTCTAGAATTAGATGTGAGAGTTTTTATCCTAAAGTCTCAATAAAAAACTGCTACTCCCCAGGCATGGTGACACAGGCCTGTAAGCCCAGCAACTCTGAAAGGTGGAAATGGGAGGATTGTAAGTTCAAGGCAACTTAGCAAGACCCTGTTTAAAAAAAAAAAGAAAGAAAAAACTGGAAATGGAGCTCAATGGTAGAGTACCCACCCCCTGGGTCCAATCCCCAGTACAAAAGGAAGGAAAGGAAAAAGAAAAAATTGTTGTACCTTTGAGAAGGGGGCAGGAGGGGTGGGTGTGTATGAGACTCCTAGTAAGCCTAAGTTTGTAAATCAACTATAGACACCCAAGAGGCTCAAAGCCAACACTACTTTATCACATTGGAAACAACTAAAAAGGTTTGCATTTCATTTAAACATGGACAAAACCCACATTTCTTAGACTCTAACCAAGTTCACTATTGTCTTAGGAACCTGTCAGAATTATCATCACATTAAGAATATTCCCTCCTCCGACAGAACAGCTAAACTGACAAGGGGAAATAATTCTCAAATATTCAGATTATGTATTTGAGTCCAACTAAAGATTACTTAAATCCAAGTCATAATGTACTTGGAATCCTTTCTAGATATTCTCAGACTAAGAAACAATCAGGTTTTAAAAAAGAATGGGAAAGATAATTCTTAAATATCTCATTTGTTTTTCTATGGCAACTGTTGTATAGAGTCACAGGGATATTTGAAAACATTTCTCACTTCTATAATCATTTATTTATTTATTTTAGTTGTAATTGGGCCCAACACATTTATTTATTTTTTTATTTTATGTGGTGATGAGGATTGAACCCAGTGCCTTACACATGCTAGGCAAGTGCTGAGCCACCCTAGCCCCTCACTTCCTTACTCTTACCACCACTTTTGATCTGAGTGACTACCTACTAATGCAATTCTGAGTTTTGATTTTTCTAAGTCTATGGAAATCACGAAGATAGGATTCTTGCTTGCAGAGAACTTGCCATCACTAAAGGAAACGGAATATGGATGTGATCATCTGTAGTAACAGAAAGTTTATCAGCTCAGTCACAAAGTAACTAATTAGAACCCAAAGAGTGATCTAAAAGTGTCATACTGAAAATCTATTCACCCTGAAATAGATAATGCTAAATGAACTTTGTTGCTGGTGAAATCATTATCTAGGACAGCAATGTCTATGGACACAGATGTGCCTGGCACTATGCCTTTAGCATTGCAGATGTTTACTTTATAAAACACATGGGAAAACACATTTCTTGGTCAAGGACACAGCATGCCTCATAGAAGTTCAAGAGCTGAAGCTGCTGACAGCTATATCCCAAAGGGACTCTAATGGATTTTGTGGATGTACCTCCAGTTTCATTTTTGCCATTTTCTGCTGGTAAACTAAGGGCTGCCCTAGATAATGATGTGACTAACAATAAATTCATTTAGCATTATTTACTTCATGGGGAATAGATTTTTATTTTAATGTGATACTTTTAGATCACTCTTTGGGTTCTAATTAGTTATTTTTGACTCAGCTAATAAACTTTCTGTTATTGCAGACAATCATATGCAGAACAAAAGAATAAATGCTTGTAAGAATTGTCTTGTGCTGGACATAAGAACAAGGGAGTTTTGGTTCAGTCATTATCTAGCATTACTGCAGAGGCCACAGTTATTAAATGTGACTGTCAGCTCAC